CTATAGAATAGAGAAAATAAACAGATATGTAGAAATATTACTATATATTTCTTAGATTATATTAATTAATATATAACATATTTTACATGTTTATTATTTGTAACTTCTTGTTTTACTTTACAATCTTTACAGCAAAGAATTATATAAGAATTTCTAACTCTCAATAGTAATGGTTTCTCTTGCTTATAGATATAAAAGTTATAATTTTAATATAATTCTTTTATAGCTTTCATATATCTTCATGTTTCAGAAATGTCTGAATCTGATCTGTTAGCTGGTGACCACATTGATGGTCTAGATGGTCTTGAAAATGGCCAAGATGGAGATACTATTATGCAGTGTGATGGCGTGAAACGTGATTTAGGCGAAGCAAACGTTGACGATCCTGTAACTATTGTTACTTATTTTTTACAATAGTTTATATATAGTCATAAAATTCCTTTTATATAGTAATACTTAACTTATACAATATTGTCCATAATTTAGGAATTAGAAGCGATTAAAGCACGAGTGAGAGAAATGGAAGAAGAAGCTGAAAAATTAAAGCAACTTCAATCTGAAGTAGATAAACAGATGAACATGGGTAGTCCACCTGGTATTAGTAAGTTTCTAAGTTTGTGTTTTCTCTATTAAAAATTATATGTACAGAGTATTTGATAAAGATTGTAACAACAATTAACGCGTGCGCGCGCACGCACACACACACACACACACACACACACACACACACACACAACATAATATCCTTATTATCACATCTCATTTCAGCAAGTCCATTAAATATGTCATTAGAAGATAAAATGGAAGTTGATAATCGGTCCATTTATGTCGGAAATGTAAGTTCATTATAATGCATTCATGATTATTTATAGCATAATTCTTCTCTTATAAAATGTATTTTGTAATATGATAACGTTGCAAAGATTAAAAATTTGATTTCTTTTGCAGGTTGATTATGGCGCTACAGCAGAAGAATTGGAACAACATTTTCATGGCTGTGGAAGTGTCAATAGAGTTACGATCTTGTGTAATAAATTTGATGGTCACCCTAAGGGATTTGCTTATATTGAATTTGCCGAACGTGATTCTGTACAAACTGCAATGGCCATGGATGAGTCTATGTTCAGAGGACGTCAAATTAAAGTAATGCCTAAAAGAACGAATAAACCTGGTTTCTCTATGACAAATAGGTAATTATTTGTTTTATAAATAACATTCTAATTATAATTTATGAAATGATATAAACTTATAAATGATTATTAGTTGGTATTATATGTATGTAACTCGAATTTCTTTATTTGAATCTTACAACCTCGACACTTGTATTTCATTGCTTATATTTATAGGGGTCCCAGAGGTGCAAGAGGCTATCGAGGTATGGCTAGAGGAATTATTCGTGGTAGTGCATACTTTGGATACAGGCCTACAAGGCGTCCTAGGTAATAATTAATTTCTATTCAATTTTGCTATCTTCTAATAAATACATTAGCAATTTTTATAATATCTTTATTCTTAAAAAAAAAAAAGAATTTGCTTTGTCTTCTATAAGTTCTATTACTTTTTTTCTTATAGGAGTTACAGACGTGGTTACTATATGCCATATTGACCATTTTAAAGTGTGGCAACATTATTTTACAAGTGTCAAGGTAAGTTTTTATTTTAAGTAATGTATATGATAATTCTTATTTATTGCTCAAAGAAAAGTTCTCAGTATAAAAGGGGTAATTTAATTTTTCAATTATAATTAACGGTTTTATAGTTCTTAAGAAATATGAGAAAATAAATTATTTGCAAAAGAACATTTCTTTGAATGTTTTTAAATTTTCTGGAAATTTCTGAATTTCATGCATTAATATAACTCAAGGAAAGGCCAGAAATGCTTGAATTTTGATGACTTATATATAGTTTGACTCAAAATATATTGATACAAATGTTTATATACATATATATTATATTAAATCAAAGTTGTTTAATTAGATGTTTTTGAGTGATTTTTATTCATATTTCTCTTTTGTTGAATCTCTTATTTAATCATGTTAAATATCAAAATAGATACAGCCTTATATCTATTAGAGAGGACTATTCAAATAATCAAATATTCTTTTAAATAATATTTTTCATAAACAAATAAGTAAAAAAACGTAATATTGAAGAATATAATTTACTGGTCATTCCTCCACATGACTTAGATTATAAAATTATGATTTAATAGAGTAATTATTCTTTAACTTCTAAACTTAACTTTTAATATAATCTGATGTATCTATATGATCGAACTTAGTAATACAACAAAATTAAAATTATGAAGAAATTAACAGTATATTCTCTTTATTCATTGGATGTAATAAAATATGATATCTAGATACATTAGTACTGACACTTGGCCATAATAAATATCTATACTGAAAAAAATGTTAAAAAATATATATAAAGTTACAAAATAACATTTTATTTCGTTTCTACATATGGCATTTTTAGTCTAGCTCGATTAAAAAAAACTTTAATTCCAATTAAATATGCACATATTTGTTATTTCATAAATTGAAAGTATAGAATATGGCCTTGTGAGATATAATTGCAAATTGTAAGTTTTTGTGAAAAATTGATTAACAATTCACACAAGAAACTTACAAACATGTATGTCATCATGCATTGTATTAAAAAAAAAGCGGTTAAGATATTTAAGTAAATTCTTATGATATGTCCACAGAAAAAAAAACTGATACGAAGGGAAAAAAAAAGAGAAAAACATCATGTCAAAAGAAAAAAAGATTGGACAGATGGGCACAATTAATTATATTTGATTTAATAATTATCACATAAAGCTACAAATGTAGAACAGCGATCATTCACTATTGTAGTTCAATAAATTTTTGTTAAAGAGTTTGATATTATTAAATTTTATTAAATTGAATTTTGTATCCGCCTTAAAACTTTTCCAAAATATTTTATTTTACATATTCATACATATTTCAATTATTTTATGTATCTGATGGAAATTTTGATTAAAAATACATTTCAAAAGACATTTA